CAGCACATCTGAGTCACCTGGGGGAATTTACAAGCTTGGACTCCTAGATACCAGACGCATGACTCAATGTCTCCTGGGGGGGTGTTAGTTTGTAAGAGACACTGTCCTCTCAGGTGACTACCAGCAACTCGAGAATGGGGGTGGGGGACAGGTCCAGAAAGTTTAGTATATAAAGGTATCATGTTCTGTGCATTAGGACGCCACACCTGACCTCCTGCTACTTCCTGTACTTGGCCAAAGCTGTGCCTGGTGTACTCCTCCATCCACGCTTCCTCCTGTAAGTTACATCTCAATCAGACAGCACCTTCTCAGGGCTTCTTTCTCCTAGCGTCAAGCACGTTATCGTATGTCTTAGTCTCTTAAGTATGATTTGACTGTTTTCCCTTTCTTCTACCTAACACAGTACTCCCCCTCGTAAGAGTGGCGTTTGTTGAATGGGTAAGTGGTGGACTGAATGCATTCAGGAATGAAGTGATACTTGAATTCAGTTTCAAAGGTGACTAGGATTTTGGACAGGTGGAGCAAATGAATGAGAAATTAATCGTCCTGAAGTTCCCAGTGTAGATCGGATTGCTTTCAGAAGGTGGAGGAACTGGCTTGGAAGAGTTGAATGGTTTGATTTTTACTATACTTAGTATGCCATGTTTGAGCAATGGCTATCCAGCAGCCTTTCAACTGATGCCAGAAAGAACACCATGGGGTGTATTCCTTCAGCCAGTACAGGGAGCCCCTGCTATGTGTGTGCCAGACGACGAAAGACCAATAGAGCCTCCTCCTGAATTGTGCCAGTGAGAATATTCCAGGAAAGGGACCACAAGTGTAGCCATGGAGCAATAAATACAATTTATTTTTGAGAAATTGAAAATAGAGCGATAGAAGGTTAGAGTGAGGTGAAGGAGGGGAGAGGTATAAAGTAAGTGGGAAGGCAGGCAGAAGCATTGTCACATGGGGCCTTGGTGGGCCATACAAGGAAGGGAGTCTGTGCTTATTCAAAAGCATGGTGGGAAACCATTGAAGGTTTGAAGCAGGAAGGGAATAAGTAGTGCAGGCTTATTTATTTTCTTTTAAACAAATGTTCATTGTGACTAGAGTGTGGCTGTATTAATTACTATCATGGCAGGTAGGGATGGCATGACAGAGTACATGGTGGCTGGAGTATGTTGTGAAGATGTCTGTGAAGACCAGGGAGCAGGCAGTAGGGGATTTTGCCCACATTTAGATTTATGTGCATTGCCATTTGCCTGCATGCATGTCTATGTGAGGGTGTTAGATCTCAGAGTTACAGACAGTTATGAGTTGCCATGTGGGTGCTGGGAATTGAACCCTGATCCTCTGGAAGAGCAGTTAGTGATCTTAACTGCTGAGCCATCTCTCCAACCCTGTTTGTTTGTTTGTTTGTTTGTTTGTTTTTCCAGCCAGTCTTGTGCTTGATTGCTGTGACCACCTGAGGTCTTGACCTCACACTTGCACATTGCACATCAGGTGAGCCAGCCGCACATTGGCTGTAGTCTTCTTGGGTAGCAGGCCCATAGGCTTGTACCTCACCCTTGTAGAATTTCCTTAAGTTTTCCTTTTGAATCTGGTTAATGATGACAAGGACATTCACGATGGAATTTGGGGCTGACTTGTAACTTGGAGAGCTTAGGCAGCATTGCCTGTCACCTCAGCAGAAAGCTGGGACATCTTCACCTTCAGATGTCTTAGCTCCTCCTCCTTGCTTTCCTTGGTCCTTGCTATGGCTCTGCTGCTCACCGCTTTGGGCTGCCTGGCCCAAGAGTGGCACAGTCCTTGTTTAACATAGACTTTTTACATACCATGCACACAGATTTTATGTTAATTTTATGGGCCAGGGTTTTGAGTTTCTTCAGGATCCTAGCTTGTCAGCATCCCCTTCTTTCATGACATTTAAATTCAGATTCCAAGGCTGCTCTCTGCAGCCTCACTCTGGCCCCATCCAGCTGTCCAGTTTAGTCACAGCTCTAGGATTGATTGCTAGGATTATTATTAAGACTGTCCTGTCAGTTCCTGCCTGCCTGTGTCTCAAATCCAGGTACTTGTACCTATGAACCTTGATTTCTTCCTCTCTCGAGCACCTTTGTTTCTGCCCTGCTTATGACTTGAGAGTGTCATCCTTTCTATGAAGCCTCTTTTGTCTGGTGTGTCATTGGGAGTCTCACATCCTCCCGAGTCTTCTAACAAAAGAGTCTCTTTTCTGTCACCTCTGTGTCACAGTGCATTTTCTGTCTTTATCTCACTGTGTGCCCTGAGTGGATGTGTGTGCTGACTTCTGCCTTTCTCCTGGTGTCTAGTTCTGTTTCTTGCACATTGTAGGCATCCTGTCTGTCTGTCCGTCACATGAACAAGCAAAGCTTCTGACCGACATTTGTCCCCTGTCCTTTCTTTCTGAGAAGCTTGTGATCTGCTCTTGCGCTGACTAACATACTTGTCTCTGCCACTCCCTACTCTCAGCCAGATTTTGCCGATTCTTTTCCCCCTTTAACAGTCACCGTGTGGGTGTGCCTCCTGCTGCTGGTTCCATCTCCCCCACCCTCTTGTGCCTCTCGTCTTCCACAAATCACATGACCCGTGTGGGAACAAAATGTGATTATGTTAAACTCATAATAAAAAAGATCGTATATGAAGAACGGTCCTTAAGTTTATCAGTAGTTTGCTTTCACGTGGGAAATTTTCTATCCCACATTTGAAAGGGAAGAGAGGGGAGATTCTTTGAATGCCAGATTGAGGCATGCAATATTCCCACAATGGGATGTGGTGCGTTAGAGACATCTTTTTAAACCAAAGAAACCATCCAGGAAGTCACAGGCACTTCCACCAACTGCTAATTTTAAACCTGAGTTGTTTTTTTTTTCAACAGCTGGAGGAACCATTAGAAATTAGTGGAGTCCCCACCCTCCTGTTTTCCAGATGAGGAGACAGACAGAAATGGAATGACTTGTCCATAAAAGCCAGGCTGTTGTGCCCAGTGTTTATTCCTAACACTGAGTGTGGTTTGGGGAACCTCCAGCCCTGCTGTGAGGGGTTCAGGCCTCAGATGGCTGAGGCCACTGAAGTGCTCAACAGTAGCTGTTGGGGGGGGTGGCAGCCTGGGTTCATGGGAGTGTGTGCCATAAGGACCCTTTGAACTGTCTCAGATGCTTGGTTAAGGGGGAAATCTGCTCAGTGGGGACCAGCTGACAGAAATCTGTTTCTTCTGCATTTGAAAGGGGGCCAAGGTTTAATCATGAAAACCTTTCCAACTTCTTTGACCCTCCTTTTCAACCTTCATATTCCAAGTTTTGTTTTAGATTTAATTTCCTCATCTAAGCACCGTTTGTGGTATTTTTATTGCTTATTGCAGGCCAGATGTTAGGATGAAGCATGGGAAATCCAGAAAATGTCTTAGAGGTTTGTGACTTTAGGAGTGCTTGCTAGACAAATCTTTGACTTTAAATAGTAATGGATTTTACTGTCCAGTGAGTCGGTTGTCAGAAGCCAAGAAAGGTTACCTGTTTTTCAAAGGTCTAACGTTGAGCCTCAGAGCTGCAGTACAAAGCAGACAATGGCAAACAGGAAGTCGGGTTCAAACAGAACGTGCTTGTCTCCACTGCAGCTTGTATTTAGGAACTTGCTGTGGGTAAAAGGTCAAAACTTTAACCAGGTGTGGTGCACACCTGTAATTATCCCAGCATCTGGGAGGCTGAGGGAGTATTTTGGAGGCCAAAACTTTCAATTGAAGCTTGCCTGGAGAAGTCTGCTCCTTGTGTGGAAACGAGCCTAATAGCCATTTACTGCACACACAAAAAGAGTTACTTTTCTCAGTGCTGGGACTTCAACCTGACTAGCAGCAGCTTAGGGGCAAAAAGGGTGGTTGGGGTTTTTGTTGTTGTTGTTGTTTACTTTTTTATTTTTGGCTTACAGTTCGTGGAGATATGGTCTGCCATGGCAGGAAACGTATGGTACTAGAAACATGTCTGGTCGGTCACATTGCATCTGCAATAATAGGAAAGCAAAGAGTAGACAGTGGGTTATAAAACTTCAAGGCACATCAATGGTGCTGACTTCTCCTTGTGAGACTCCATCTCCTTTAAATTTCACAGCCTTCCAAAACAGAGCCATCACCTGGGGACCAAGTGTTCAGACACGGAGCCTATGGGGACATCTAGTCAACCACAGCACAGCTCTGGCCTCTCAGCATAGCCATCTTCTGGGGCCCATGTCTGTCTCTCTTTGGAATCTTAGACATGTTGTTTTCCTTGATTTACACCATATGGTTCATAAAATGAAGTAGCACTAGATTGACAGCTGCTGGTCTGCTACTTTTGGTAGGTGTGGGATTCAAGTGTGTGCTAGCTCTTTATTTATTTATTTATTTTTTGTAAATAACAATAGGAAATTTTAGCAGATAATTTGCCAGATTTTTGAGTAACAGGTTCCTTTTGTGGACATCCAGGATTCCTAGCGCCTTCTGTGTGTGTTCTGACCAAGGTAGCTATGGGCCACAAAGTACTGTGGGCCTTTCAGAAGACTTTTTTATTTTTGAATTAAGTTTCCCTGCATACTGGAGGCAGGGATCTAATAGTAGCTGCTCAATTGTTTCCCCCTTTGGCAAGTCTCTGGAGAAGCCATTAAATAAGTAATTTGCCTGGGGTCACACAGCTGGTAAACAATCTCAACTGCCCCTATTTTCTAAGGTCTACTTCCCCCCCTTCATTGTTTCCTACTGTGAAATCTGCTTTATTGCCTTGATTAAGGGATGAGATTGGCTATGGGATAGCTACCTGCAGGGAGTCACCTTGGAGTCTTTGTGGATTATTAAAACTGCTTGAGTTATTTCAAAACTGGTCCATTCTGCCATCTCAGGATATAATTAGGTGCAGGAAAAGGTCTTCTTTTAAATTGTCATTTGACTGAGGAATATATTTTTACTGTCCTAAGCATATCTTAGATCAGGTTCCATTAACATACTCTGAAAGCCGACATTTCCTTTTGTTTCACAGAGGATTGTTTAGGGATGCTTAAGAACCAGCCACGGTCACTGAGCCATTGTGTGTCACTCTTTCAGGTGCTGAGTGTAAACTTGGTTTATTATACTGAATTGAGCATGCTCACAAGCACCCAGGCTTCCAGGTAAAGACCTTAATTACATTTTTTCCCCTGCATTCCATATCCAGCCACATTGCAAAGAAGTCTGTATGTCCTTCTGCTTTGTAACTCAAGGGGCAAATGAATAAGAAGAAAATAAGTTTTTAAAAAATGGGGTGGGGGTGGGGTCAGACTGGACTGGTGGCCTTGGAAGTTAAGGTATCTCTGAGGACTGCACTTGGCTGAAGTCAGCTCTGGGGTCTTGACGTTGGGGATGTTGAATAGGAGCCATTTTATAATTTGTTGTGAGATAGAAGCTAAGTAGTATCTGAGGGCCCAGATTAAGTACAGGTAGGGGAGAATGGTGAAATTACAAAGGTAGGGGTTTTTTTGAGACAGGGTTTCTCTGTGTAGCTTTGGAGCCTGTCCTGGAATTAGCTCTGTAGACCACCAGGCTGGACTCGAACTCACAAAGATCTGTCTGCCTGCCTCTGCCTCCTGAATGCTGGGATTAAAGGTGTGTGCCTGACTTACAAAGGTAGTCTTTATTTTTTGTTTCTAGTAGTACTGGCAGGTTACAGCTAGACCTCTCCATTTCCTTCTGCTTTTTGGAATGGATGCTGGGTATATCACATCCAGCAGGAGCAGAAAATGGTGCAGAAGTCAGCATAATTTTCAAATTGAGACCAAACATCAGAGCCAGTGAAGAGTTTGGGAGAAAAAAAGAAGGTGCTTGGTCTGGCTTCCTCTTCCATCACTGACCTTGTACAGGCGCTGCATGGTGCCCGAGCCACTGCAGCTCTAGGTCTGGGTGGAGGTGAGGATGGTGGTTCTACCCCAAATCTGGCAGGGAAGCGCCAGATTGTGAGTTGGCTGGAGTGCAGGAGAGTAAAAGACAAATGGACACTTCCTGCCAAGGGGTAGAAAAGGGAAGGAATGCAATTGGAGGACGGGCTACTTGTAAATGGCTCTATTAGGTTCTTCAAGGGTTCCACACTGATTTAGAGCCAGTGGGAAAGGCCAAAGATCATCCAGCCTCTTGCCAAGAACTAGACTGAAGTGGAGTAAGGTTTTGGCATGCCTAAAGGAGGTAGGAAAGCTGAGAGAAGGGGGTCTTTGTCTTCTCAAAGCCTTGAAAAGTCGGGTATACTGGCATGTACCTGTTGAGGTGGCAGGGTGGCTTGAGCCCATTGATGTTTGAGACCAGCCTGGGCAATATAGATTCCAGCTGGGAAACAAAAGTCAAAAACTTTGAAAGCAATTAGTTTAGACCAGCAAAGCTGGTTCAGGTCCCTGAAACCTGTATTTATAAAAGCCTTATCACCCCAGCTCCAGCACCCCTTCAGTGATGGGAGGTTATGCAGGAGGATCATCTGGCTTATTATGCAACACCTGTGCAGCAAAGCTGCCTTCAAAACAAGGTGGAGGGCAGCAAGCAGTCTTAGTGAGTAGAGGTGCGTGCTGCCAAGCCTGGTGGCCCCAATTTGGTCCCCAGGATCCTTGTGGTAGGAGAGAACTGATACCTGGAAGTTAATCTCTCGATTGTACATGGGCTCTGGCGCATGCTGTAGTAATAATTACATTTTAATGTAATCAAAGTTTTAAAAGAAAACATCTTTATAGCCATTTTTCCCTAAGTGCACAGGTAAATCCATAACACACATATTTTAACCCTTTCAGTGATTCTTGTAACTGGTTCTGTTATTTGGAGGAAATGTATTACATTTGGCCACATTTTGTGCAGGGTACTTTGGAAGAAAAGCAAGTTGCATCGTTTGATCCTAATCAGAATTAGTGCATTGCTTCCCCCACTCGGGGCACCAGGAGCCCTCTCCCCTGACCCCTGGCTTTTTTGTTTTAATCTGGCTCACCTGTAGTCTGGTATCTAGATAGTGTTTTGTGAAGGCAGCTTCTTGAGGCAGAAAGTTTATGGGATGAGTCCTGTTTCTTGCACAGGAGGTCTAGAGGGAGCTGAGTCTCTCCAGGCCTCATGAATTGTGTCATCAGTTTTAATGGAAGAAGGATCCTTCAGTAATTAAACCATGGGTCCGTTTATTCTGTGTTCAGCCTCATTTAGAAGACTTCACTACAAACTGCTTCCTTTTCTGATTGACTCCCCCTTTGGGGCAGTGTGCTTGGGCTGAAATGAATGTGTGGGTTTACTCCGCAGTGTTCAATCTGTCATCTCTCCTAAACGCCACACTAAGAAGCAGCCATTTAATTGGTCCGACCCCGGGGGTGATATTTTGGCACTGCTCCATCGGTAGGAATTACTTTTCCTTGAACTTCGGAGCAGATGCTGAGATCCCTCTGCAGATATTTGTCATAGACTAGTTGGAACCAGGGAGTTACCAGAGAACATTTATAACTTGTGATTATTATGTATGTTTTTCAGTTGTTTACAGTGGTTCCCACTTCAGGAAGAGAGCTCATTTGCTGCTGGGGGGGGGGGGGAAGCGTGGTCTCCCTGCTGTCCTCGCTAGGTGTGTTGTTTTAACCCTTTATGTTCTGGGGCCCTCTAGTGTCCTATTGCCATATTTTTGCTGTTGCTTCTGCCAGCCTGTGTGGGGCATGTTGGGTGGAACAGGTGAAGCTCTGCCCAGACCTGGGTGTATTGACTAGAGTGGTGTGCTCTGATTTCTAGGGTTTCTGTGTTGATATTCTACTTCTGTGTATTTTGATTTTGTGTTTCTTTGCATTCTTTGTAGTTCCCATCACAGCTCCTTTTGCTCCTCAAAACAGCATCACAGGAGATATCTCATTGCCAAAGGCTTTGTGATCCTTTGTCAAAAGTTTATTTTATTTTATTTTATTTTTGTTTTGTTTTGTTTTGTTTTTTGAGAAAGGGTTTCCCTGTAGCTTTGGAGCCTATCTTAGAACTTGCTCTGTAGACCAGGCTGGCCTGGAACTTGGAGATCCTCCTGCCTCTGCCTCCCGGTGCTGGTGGCTCTGATCCTTTGTAACAAAGTATCTAGCTTGGTAGTAGAAAGGAACCATGGAGCTTAACTGTCCTAAAGACACTGGTGTGTGCGAGTTTGGAGAGAGGCAGGCATTTAATCCTTTACTGACCCCTTGCAGTAATGTTTATGCCTAGCACTGCTGTCTGCTATAGTGTGTGTGTGTGTGTGTGTGTGTGTGTGTGTGTGTGTGTGTGTGTGTGTGTAAAAGAGAAATGGTCTCATGTAGCTCAGTCCTTGCACCCCTCTTGATTCACCTGCCTACCTCCCACCCTGCAAGTGCTGGGATTATAGGTTTAGGCTACCACACCTGATTGCCCTCTGCTCTTTATGGAAAGCTGGAAATTTAGTACACGTAAGTTTTCTCCACGGAGAGCACCACCTCTGTAGCCTATCCTGTGAGTATGGAGATGTTTAGTCTGAAGCCCAGAGACCACATTCAATCGAACTTACTCACTATAATAGCCAGAATTTAAGGAACAGTCTGATACTAAAACGAAATTAAAGCATATTATATTTGGGAACAACTCCCTTCCCCCCCAAAACTTCTGTCTTCTATAATTTTATCCCTGGGATAAAATTCTCATCTAGGAAAACTGTGTTATCCATTACCTGCACCCAAAAGACTGCCTTGCGGGTGGGGTACATCTCTCAGGATCTAAAGGAATTGGAAATGAGTTCCCACCTTGTGAAGTCTGTTTATGTCTGGCCCGCACACCACTTCAGTGGGGGTTTTCATTCAGCTGTGGGTTCTAAAGTTCCCACCGTATTCTTGTTTCCTCTGTGACTTAGGGTTCTGAGTTCTTTATTCTGAAATGAATATCTCAGAAATAATCCCAGAATCAGAGAGATCATGATCCTTTGCTGCATACCCCTCATGTGAGGCCAGTTGATAATATGGTTCACTCTGCAGGTTGCTTGCTTATGACTGCAACAGTCACTTAGTTGATGTCCCTTGTGTCACCAGCATCTTAAACCTTCCTACATCAGGGTTAGATGTCCCAGGCAGGTGTACTGGAGAGTTCCAGTTGCAGCCCCAAGATTCTAACAGCTTCAGGGAGTTCAAGTTTCTTGCCCAATCAACTTCTTTTTAAAAGCAAGCCGTCTTCTAAGCTGAGAGATGATTTTAAATTTCAGGTGAGTTTTTTTTTCTTATTTTACATATTGATCCCAGTTACCTCTCTCTCCCTCCCTCCCTCCCCCCCCACTCCCTCTCCTATCCTACCCTCCCCCCCACTTCACAGGGAGGGTGATGCCTTCCAGGAGGGATCATCAAAATCTGTCATTTGGAGTAGGATCTAGGCCCTCCCCCTTGCATGTAGGCTAAGGGAATATCTATGGGGAAGATGCTCCCAAAGTCCTTTTGAGCACCAGGGATACATCCTGGTTCCACTGTCAGAGGTCCCTTAGACTGCCCAGGACTTCTAACTGTGCCCCACTTTCAGGGGGTCTGAGTCGGTACAATGCTGGTCTCCCAGCTGTCAATCTGGGGGTTCATGAGCTCCCCTTGTTCAGGTCAGCTGTCAGTGTTCAGGTGAGTTCTTAAGAAACAGGGATTCTCTAATATGTGGGCAGGGTAATTAGCCAGCTATTCACCAACCCTGCTCCACACAGTACCTTGGTAACCAGGGAGAAAAAAGGAGTCACTGAAATACACAGGTCAATTGCCCTTTTAGAATTGTAACAAGGTTTAATAATGTCTCCAATGTGCTGTCTGTCAAATGTTTCACCATTGACTAGGTATGTTATGGATGTTACTTTCCATCCCTGCTGTTACCTACTTTTGGAAAGTATACAAGACTTAAAGATTAAGTAAGGGCTGAGGAGACAGCTTAGTTGGCAAGTGCTTACTTCACATCAGGAGGACCGAAGCCTCGTCCTCAGCATCCATATAAACGCCAGGTGCAGATGTGTGCATCTATAATCCCAGCACTGGAGAGGCAGATGCAGGCGGAGCTATAGAGCCCACTTGCCAGCCAGTGTCAGTCAGTCAAACTGATGAGAGCTCTGGATTCAGTGAGTGACCTTGTCTCAAAAAATAAGGTGGAGAGTGATCAAGGATGACACACGATGTTGACCTCTGGCAGCCTTTACACACATTGGTCCCCATGTGTGTATTCATCCATCCACAGATGTGTACACACACCCATATACCATGTACAGATAACTCATACATAAGCTTAAATTTGTTCACAAAGGATTTTCCTTTCTCAGTCACGTGGTCCCTGTAAATAATTGAGAATGAGCTTTTTGTCCCTAAGGATAAATGAGAACTTGCCTTATCAGCTATGCTGGTAAAATATGAGCAGTGTTTGACCACAGTCTTTTCCTTCATCCCACAGTTTGGATGTCTACGTATTATAAAAGCTGTGAGGGAAAGCAGGGGATATCTGGGCAGTGTGTTTAAATGGGGGAGGATTCCAGAGACAGGGTCAGACTTGAGACCTGGAGAGTGATCCAGGCAGAAGACATGCTAGAAACCTGAAGAACCCAAGGAGGGGGAGGGAAGTAAGGGATAAGCAGACTGGTACTGGGATGGAGGAGATGCTGATGGGAATCTTCAGCTTGAGAGTATTGTTGAAAGCCCTCTGAGGTGTGCTTGAGTGTGCCTGGCTTCTGAAAGCCAGCGGCGAGCTCTGGAGGTAAGAGGAGGTTCGATGGTTGGAGCTCTGGAGTGGGGAGGAGTGCACAGGAATGCTTAGAGATTGAGGAGATGAAGATAGAGAAGTGTCAGTAAGATCTTGGCTTTGGTGACTTAGAGATTATGTGGAACACCTGGATCAAGGAGTTTGGAGAAGCTTGATGACTAAATTAAGAGATTAAGGAACTGCAACAAAATATTGAGAGGCATTTTGATGTAGAGAAATTGAACTTTACAGGGGTGGGAGCCAAAATGATTTCTTTTTTGTTACTACAAATCATATACATTTTACTAGGTGCTTTAAAAAAAAACCCATACAAGGTGGTGTGGTGGCACAAGTCTTTAATCCCAGCACTCAGGAGGCAGAGGCAGGTGGATCTCTGTGAGTTCCCAGGCTAGCCTGGTCTACAGAGCTAGTTCCAGGACAGGCTCCAAAGCAATACAGAGAAACCCTGTCTCGAAAAAACCAAAACCAAACAAACAAACAAAAAACCTCACAAGAGAAATACACAAATAATATGTGCAATTTAATTAATTCTTACAAATCATATTTATGTAATCAGGAAACATTGAGGTTGAAGAGATGGTCCAGTGGTTAAGAGCTCTTGCTGCTTTTATGGAAAACCAGGGTTCCATTCCCAGTGCCTGTGTATGACAGCTCTTAAACTGCCTGCAATTCTTGTTGCAAGGAATTTAGTGTCCTCTTCTGGCCCTGTGGGCATTGCATCAGATACACATACAGACAAGCAAGCACATATACTACATAGACATAAGAAATTTAAAAAGAAACAATATTAGCAGAAGTCCCTGTGTCTCCTTCCATCTACGTCCCAAGCACAGCCACTATTCCTGATTTTGTTCTCATTGATTGGTTATTTCTTTCTGTGTTACCCAGGCTGACCTTAAATTCATGGGCTCAAGTGATTTAACTGCCTCAATCTCCCAAGTAGGTGGGACTATGGCATGTGCCATCATGCCAGGATACACTATCCTAATTTTCACACTAGATTGGCTTTCCTCCTTTTTAATGTAACCATTTAGTGTATACCCATTGCCCATTTCTTTCAGGCGGCATTAGGTCTATATCAGATTTGTTTCACAGTTGCACAAACATAATATATCCATTTTGCTGTTGATGAGCATTTGGGGCTATTATAGTAGTGCTTTCATGGATATTCTTGTGTGTTTTCTTTTGGTGTGTGGATTTCTTTTGGTGAGTGTATCATACCTGGAAGCAGAATTGCAAAGCCATGGAAATATGTGTATTTTTATATAGCACACACATACTCAAACGTATGTGCACATTGTCCCTCCCTTATCATTTCTGATGCACACTTGGTACCAAGAAGGTTCCAGCAGTGTTAGTATTCTAGCTGTTCTCCGACCTTCCAACACTTGTTAGAACCTCTTGTTTTAGTTGTGCCAGTGGGTGTTTGATGGCAACACACTGGCCTGTAGTTTGTATTTGCCTTGTGACAAGGAAAAGTTTTTTAAAATCTGGGGGATCTTGGAGCATGCCTGTATATTGACCAAAAAAAGTTTCTAATAGAGTCAGTACCCACAGTGGGGTAGGCTGCAGGGTAAGTGGACTTCTGAGTCTAGGTCCTATGTTTAGGGCCTGGCTTTGCTACCCACTTTCTGTGACTTTGAGCAACGTATTTATCTAGGTTTTTTTGTTTTGTTTTGTTTTTTCCTGAAAATACTCAGCTCATACTAAAGTATTAGGATTTCCTGAAAATACTCAGCTCATACTAAAGTATTAGGATTGCATGCGCTAATAACAGTAGGTGAAGCACATAGTTTGGTGTCTGGCAGAACAGAAGCATTCTTTCAGCCAATGCCTAGTCTGTCCTTCTCAAATGCATAATTACTTCTCAGTTGCTTCAGAGGACCTTGGCTAAACCATATTGATAGGCCTTCCACAGCATTCCCCTCCAAAACCTTTGCAATTATACTTTAATTGCTTTTTAAAGATAATATACAAGATGAAACTCAGCCCATTCTGTATTAACGATCCATAACACCGGATACTTTGCTTTATGCACTCAGAGCATAGATGCTGTCGACCATTCCAGGAATACATTAGTGGCCATAGGTGTGCCACCTCTGGATAAATGAGATGATTCAGCCATTTGATGATTTGCTGTGTCAAAAGGTACTTCCCATGAGACTCGAGGGCACTTTAACTGGGTATCTAGGGGATCTTTGTGAGGTCTTCGTGTACAGTGGGTTCACTATGAATGTGTTCCTGGATGCAGCTGTTTGCATCTGTGGAGCTCTTGTTGCAGAGTCACTTTAACTGTTAATTAAAATCAGGACAGATTGCACGCAAACTTTGGGGACATTGCTGCCTTTGTTTTTGGTTGCTAGTGAGATGGTTTTGGATTGTCATTTTAAATTTGTGCTCCCTTTCTATACCCACTCCTTTTGAGACCATGCCCATGACAGCCAGTGAGCCACTTTATTTTATTTTTTTTTTTTTTGAGAAGCCATATTACCTGCTCTGTTGCCTCTAGGACTGTGCCAACCCCACCTGAAATAGGCAATTTGTTTTCACCTCAGTATTAACACCATGGTTTGCCTGTTCAGCATCAGAAATACCAGCATATCCCACGAAGTCACAAAACCCACATGTCCACTAACCACACTCGCCTCTCCCTGAGGGTTCTTCAGGGAACAGTTCTTGTTCACTCCCCACCTTACATCCCTCACCTCTATCCTCCATGTGTGATGGAAGGCTTAGTCAAGCACAGTAAGTAGGCAGTTGGTGTTGACGATTAAACCCCAGAATCCATCTTCTCAGAATAGCTGAGGGAGCCAAGGTTGAGTTTTTGAGCCCTCAAGAAAGATGTGGTACTTGTCATCTTTTTAAGGTCTCAGAAGGGGTTTGCAGGACAGAAGCTAGCTTTCCAAAGTGTCCTGTTTACCCATTTTCCATAGCTGGTTCCCCAGTTTGTTATTTATCGGGGTAATCAGATGTTTGTGAGTCTGTTTAGGGCTGAGGGATCAGATGAGCCTTCCCAAGAGAAGAGAGTTTAGTTTGCATGGTGGCCTTGTTAGTCAACCTGACCACGGCCACAGATGTCTCTTTTCTGAGATTTGAATACCTCAGTGGACAAAAGCCTAGTCCTCTGATTGTTTAGACCTGTTCTCTTAGACTGAGCAGGTCTGAGGTATTCTGACACTGCTACTCTTGTCGCTTGCTACCTCTGTTCTATAGGTCACCTTCCCTGAATGTACATTCCCAGATGAACACAGGCCTGTGGGGTCACGATGTGGTAAGAGTCCAGTCTTCTCACAGGGCCGTCTGTTTCTTTTCAAAGCAGCCAAGACTTGACTAGGCCATTCTTCCAAGATGTTTAGAAGAGGCCCTTGAGGTTGGAGAGAACGAGACAGTGTAGTGGAAGCAAGGCTACCCTGACTCCTAGCTGAGAAGTGGGCCTGATCTTGTATCACAGTGGCAGAGGGGGAGCTGTGGTGTCCTTCTAGGTCCTAA